GGATCCTTTCCCACAAAATAAATAAATAATGCCCGATATTTTCCAAAAGTACATTTTTCAACAAATGTTTAAGTAGATGATATTTATCTTAGAAAGGATTTTTTATTTTATTTTGTTATAATTAAATTTCAATACTTCGTAGAACTCTTAAGTGAATAAAACTACATTTTGTCCTCGATCTTTTATTTCAGTAGAAAGTAGGTCCTCAACTTTTCACTATAGTTGTATAATCAGTTGTCCATTACCGAAAGAATCCATATCTATGTCACATCATCGTATGAACTATATTTTGTTTCGCAACCAGGGTTGACATCTAGAAGCTTAAAGTGAGATCATGTTTTCACGGCGATCATGTGATAAATTGATGAAGATTTATAATTAATTGTGTAATTATAATAAAAGGTTCAAGATCAATTTATTCTTTTTTAAAAGGTTAGAAACAAAATTGATCAATGGTGGGATTTTCCCAAATAATAATGGTGCAACTTTGGCACAATTAAGATTAGGTGCAATCATATGTATAAAATGATTTGATTTGTGTAACGAGGTACAATGTACCAGACAACTCAAGTATCATACTATAGTGCGCCACTCGTGGTTAGAAGAGAACTGCTACATCTAACATATGTTGTAAAATTAAAATTAAAATAAATAAATGAAAACTAAAAATAATTTACCCGAAAAAGGGCAAATTAACATTTCAATTTCCTAATTACACTTTTAACTTACTCGTGCGTACCCTTTCAAGTTGTGATGCAACATGATACTTTTCCACAATAAACACTTGGTCGTCGGTCACCCTTTTTGTCTGTTTCGAGTTGGACGTCGTTCCTTTTGAAAGAACGACCATGAAGGGAACAAGCTAAACCCCCGCTCCAACTTAACGAACAAGAAAACTAAGTAATCTTTAATTAATGTACAACATTACAAAAAGGAGAAATAAAAATGAAAATATGTAATTGATGTAATGCTCCACACGATTAAGGAACTTCTTTTTCCATGATCAATTTATAAATTAATATATAGTCATCCTGGGACTTCTTATTATTATTATTATTTTCAAAATTTCAGATACTTCTGTGATAAATTTCTAGTAATTTTTTCCATGAATATGCCGGTGTCCTGCAGCCACTAAGGAAATATACACGTATTCTCACGATTCATCGTGATTCTCGACTGTACACGAGGCAGCAGTACTCTATACCAAACATGCACTATAGAGCAGAAAAGTATATTGGTCTCGAGTCTTGAGCATTCGTTCACCTGTAAGATTTGAGAATAGCCCCACAAAAACTGCACATAATAGCCTTCCAAGATTTCCAATAAAACGGGATATAACAAAATCTGGTCATGGTTTTCATATCCGCCACCGTTGCGCCGTGGCTGCACCGCGAACAAGTTCCAGCTACCGGCTTGCTCGCTTTGATTACCCTCTTCTGATCCACCAAAAAGCAGAAGCAAACCATCAAATTAAACCCTCAAATTGGAACAAGACAAAACGTTTCTTCTTATTAAGAAAAAGAATAATATGGCAAAGTATATATATACACATAGAGGCTAGAGAGAGGTATGGAGAATTATGGGCAGCAAGTCTATGAATTAACATTAATATCTGTAGTGGTTGGAGGGTACTTTGTGATAGTTAACGTTGTAGATCAAATGGGGGGATGAATGACACGTGTCAAACACAGTTGGGATTGTATTAAATACAAATATACGACGCTGAATTTTCTTGGATTATCCCTTCTATGCTGAGTTACTGTGTACGCTGTTACGATTGAATGCTCTTAAATAAACGTTCACATTTGGCAGCCTAGGAAGTAACAGATTTCTGTAGAGTCTGCAACCGATCGACCGAACGTCGGCACTTACAAGCAGGGGCGGAGCCAGGATT